TACACAAGGGAGTATTACTCAGCAGAGAAAAACAATGACATCATGACATTTGCAGGCAAATGGATGGAACTAGAAAATATCATCCTGAGTGAGGTAACCCACACCCAGAAGGACAAACATAGTATGTACTCACTCATAAGTGGATACTAGATGTAAAGCAAAGGATAACCAGACTACAATCCACAACTCCAGAGAAGCTAGCTAACAAGGAAGACCCAAAGTGGGATGCATGAATTGCTCTGGGAAGGGGAAATAGATCAGATCTCCATGAGTGAACTGGGGGTGAGGGGGGGCAATGGAGGGTAGGGGATGGGGGGTGAGACCATAAGGGGACAGGATGGTCAAGCTGGAACAGGGATGAAGTGGGAAAGCAGTGAAATAGATACCATGATAGAGGGAGACATCATGGGGATAGAGAGAATCCGGGTGCTAGGTAAGTTCCCAGAAATTCCCAGGGATGGCCCCAACTTGGACTACTAGAAATAGTAGAGAGGGTGCCTGAACTGAACTGACTTGCCCCAGAGATCAGATCAGTGAATACCCTAACTGTCATCACAGAGCTTTTCTCCAGTGAATGATAGAAGCAGATGCAGAGATCCACAGCCAGACACCAGGCAGAGCTCTAGGAGTCCAGTTGGGGAGAGAGAAGAGGAATTCTATGAGCAAGTGCATCAAGATCATAATGGGGAAACCTGCAGAGACAACTAATCAAACTAGTGGGAACTCATGAAAGTTGGATCAATGGCTATGGAGCCTGCATGGGACTGGGCTGGGCCTTTTGCATGGTGAGACAGTTTTGTAGCTTGATCTGCTTGGGAGGCCCCCTGGCGGTAGGATTAGAATCCATCCCTGGTGCATGAGTGGACTTTTTGGAGCCCACTACCTATGATGGGACACCTCATGCAGCCTTGAGGCGGGGGAGGGTCTTGGACTTGCCTCTATTGGATGTGCCTCCTCATGGGAGATCTTGCCTTCTTGTTGGGGGGAGTGGGGGATGGGTTGGGAGGGGGAGGCTAGGGGTGGTGGGAGGAGGGAAGGGGGAATCATTGATTGTTGTGTAAAATGTTCTTCAGATTCAATGTATAAATACTGATCAATTGACTCTGAGGTTTACACGAAGAAGCAAAACACCCAGAAAAGACAACAGAACACTGAGGAATAAGAATAAAGTTGGAGGACTGATAGCCCACTTAAAGACTTCCTGTTATCTACAATTGTCAAGGCAGTATGGTATTGGCAAGGGAACAGAAGAAATAGATCTCCAGAAAAGAGCAGATACCCTGGAAATAGACTCCTATACATTGTGTGAGTCAAGTCTGTCCTTGTGACAAATACATAAGAAAAACAACCTGGAGGAAGGGGCTATTTGGGCTCACATTTTTCAGAGGTTTTACTCCATCTCACTCCACTCTATGTGATGCTGGGGATTCCAACTCAGGTCCTCAGGCTTCCACAGCAACCATTTTACCAACTGATACCATCCCCTAGCCTTCCACCGCCAATGCCATAGTACTGACCAACGGGCCATTTAAGAAGTTATTGGATCAGGGGGTGTCACTCTGTGCTTGACTGTAGAGGGAGATGAGGCAGAGATGCCTGATCAGCTTGTATCATCACAGGGAGGTGAGAGCATGGCCCTGAGGGTCTGGAGTGACACTTAGTAAGATTATCATAGACAGCAAGTAACATGCTTCTGTTAGCCCGGCTATAGCCACACAGTGGTGTCTTCTAGACAGACAGGAGAATAGGAAAGAGGGTGGTGGCCATTGTAGAGCATCCCTAGCTAATAAGGGACCTATAAAATAGGAGCAGAAGTTGAAGCTAGTTTCTGGGCCCGATGCTTCAAATCTTTACTGCTTTGGTTGTTTGGGTCGAATACAAAGGCTTAATTATTTCCAAGCGTTGTAGCTTTAAATGTGATCTCACTGTACAGGTCAAGAGAAAAGCAAGAAGTTGAGCAAAGGAATACATGACAATGGGAAGTAGACTTATTCATGTGGAAACACTTGAAAGGGAGTGCAGTGCTGGACCTGTGTAGCAAGGAGCAACTACAGACCAGCACGGCGATGATTTCCACAGTTACTCCTGGTGTTTGCAGAGGAAGGGGCAGAATACACAGCCTGGGGATTTGACTATCAATACTAACCACGTGGAAGGGAGAGGGAACACAGGTCCTCCGGAGCCAGGACTCTTTATATGTTGATCTGTCATCGAGTGAAGAAAACTGTGGACTCTTTCCTTAGAAATATGAATGCAAGCGCATATCACCTGCACACAGAATATTGGATAGCACTGTAGGGTATTAAAAGGAACCTTTATGTCATTCATTTTACTTTCAGTGCCAGAGCCAGATATATAGTAAGTATTCCAGAATTGGAGTGTGAGGGTATTTAGGGGGGATATGTAGGAAATGCTTAATTCAGATACCATTTTCATCTAAGCTCAGAACCGACATGCCCAGGGCATTGCTTTGGTGCTGAACCGGATTCTTTGGGGCGTTGCTACTGTGGTCCCTAACTAGCCAGAAAGTTTATTGAGTCATGATGGGGCAAATACAGGAGGCATTTCATTCATGTGTACAATTGAGGCGAAAGGCAAAAACTGAAGGTAAGAGTAGATGAGATGTTGGGATCCATTAACATGAGTTCTTCTACAACAGCAGCTCTTAATCCTAGCAGTGCATTTTACTTTTCTGGGAGAAGGAAGGAGTCTTATAAATATTCGTGCCTGGGCTCCACCTTAGAACAAGTGAAGAACAATCTAAGAGTTGGGCCTAAGCGTCCATATTACTTAAATGTTGGGGTTTTTTTTTTACTCTTCTGGGGGGCCTGCCACCCAGCTCCCAAATAAATTCACTCACTGAGGCTTATTCTTAATTATGAATGCACGGCCTTAGCTTGGCTTGTTTCTTGCCAGCTTTCCTTAACTTATCCTGTCTATCTTTTGCCTCTGGGCTTTTCCTGTTCTCTTACTTCTGTAAATCTTACTCTTACTCCGTGGCTTGCTCGTTGTGTAGCTGGGTGGCTGGCTCCTGATGTCTTCCCCTTCTCTCGTGCCTAGATCTCCCTTTCCAGATTTCTCCCTCTATATATTCTCTCTGCCTGCCAGCCCTGTCTATCCTTTCTCCTGACTTGCTATTGGCCATTCAGTTCTTTATTAGACCATCAGGTATTTTAGACAGGCACAGTAACACAGCTTCACAGAGTTAGACAAATGTAACATAAACAAAAGTAACACACTTTAAAATATTCTACCACACTTAAAAGCTCTTTAGATGAGTCTCATAGTATGGCAGGCTGGGAGCAATATCGTTTACAGCATGGTCATTTAGACTCTAAATTTTAGAGAGTGGAATACTGAGTTCGTCAGTCAAGTCTCTGTGAAAGTCAGAGAACATAACAAAGTGACTGTCTCTTCCAGTTCCATCACACCCCATAGCTGTCATATGCACAGTTTCGTTCATAGCTTCCCTCTCCCAATATATTTGGAGTTAAGCTCCACAGATGTGGGTGTCTCTCCTTAGATCAAATCCAGGGTTGTCATGGAAATTCAGTGTGTTGTTGCTCTGGCTTAGCCAAACTGCCCCCTACAGGATAGGGACAGAGATTTCACCTCCAGAGGGTCTGGGATGGAGTTCAGGAGTCTGCCATTGGGCAAGGCCTGCTGGGGAGTCATTCCATTGAAAGAGCTAATTTAGGGGCTAAACTGTGCCTGGGATGGAGGAAGGGGGAACACATGATACATGGAGGGGGTTCCAGAGGACACACAGCCCAGAAGCAGGAGTCAGAGTGTGAGGGTATTGAGGGGGGATATGTAGGAAATGCTTAATTCAGATACCATTTTCATCTAAGCTCAGAACCGACATGCCCAGGGTGTTGCTTTGGCGCTGAACCGGATTCTTTGGGGCTGTTGCTACTGTGGTCCCTAACTAGCCAGAAGCAATCACCAAGCACCCCAAACAGAGCCTGCAGGGAGGGGGAGGGCTATGATTAGATAATGAAAGTGTGTAGGAGGATGCCACAGCAGGTGAGGATGACAAAAACAAGTCGGGTTCACTTTGTAATTCTGCCCAGGGCTCGCTCCGGTGCCCTCTAACTGAAGCCGAGTTGAGAGACGCAAAAACAGAGCAGTTTCCAAGTTGCTTCTGTTTTCCCCTTATCTCAGGCACATCTGTGAGCCCTGAAAGTCCCAGGTGCTACCTCTGCCACACGAAAACACTGAGTGAAACCATCGCTGGGTAGCCGAGATGACTTTCACAACGAGGTTGGCGGCGGTTCTGAAAGGCTCCCCTGGCTGGCCAATGACAGGGAAGAGTGGGGATCTGGGCATCGGCATGGAGAGCCAACTTGTTGAAGGGCAGCACACACCTGCTCTCCTTGAAGGAGGGACTAGGCAACTCCACTACTTTGTTAGTGAGCCGCCCCCTTGGCAAGAGGACAGACTTCAGAGCTGTTAGGTGTCTCCACTCTTTCCTCTCTGTCTGCTTGACTTTCCTTGCGCCCTAGAATTCACAGGTCTTTTCTGCTATCATTGGCTGTGTGGACTCATGGGGCTCAACTCCTGTGACAGGGATGCAGAAGTGTGGGTCACTGTTTTCACTGTTCTGTACAAAAGTCAGGATCGTCTACAGTGGCGTGGCTGTGGAGGACTGGGGTGGAGGAAAGTCAGTGAGCTCTGGTCCAAAGGTTTGGAAGGGAATTGCCCAGTAATCCTCCGAGGGTTTCTGTAAGTCAATAGGAAGCATTGAGTGTGAAGAGAGAGCAATAAGGGTGTGTGTGTGTGTGTGTGTGTGTGTCTGTCTGTCTGTCTAAGTGGCAGACTTGCTAGTGCCTTTCTGAGGAACAGAGACCACCCTCCTTGCTCTATCAGATACATTTCAAATAAATATCAGGACTGGCGCGTGTGGTAGTTCCCATTTTGTTGGTGGACCTGCTCAGGAAATCGTTAACACAGCTTCCCATCATTTACACTTGAGTCATGCTCACAGCCTGCTTTCTCACCTGGGCTGCCCAGTGGAGAGCTGTTTTAAAGTCCTTGTCCAAGAGGGTGGGATCTGCCCCTTTCTTCAACAGCATCTGGGTGTGTTGAGGCCGGTTGTGGAAAGCTGCCCAATGGAGTGGTGTCATCCCCTGCAACATGATGATCAGAGGGGACAGAAGTGAACACCGGCTCCTAAGGGGACACAAGATCACATTCTTCCCCATGCCAGCAGGCCATTACCCATGCACCGACTGACGCTACCTGTCTATTCATTCATTTATTAAACCATTTGTTCAAGAGATGGCTGATGATTAACTTTTTTGCCGAGTTAATAGGTATTGGAATTGCAAAAATGAGTGTGAGAAACAAAATCCCTGCCCTTATGGGAGTTGGGCTGCGGTAGAATAAAGGAAGACAGACAATGAACGCTCATGGAGGAGCCAGGGGCTTTTCCTGATTGCCAGTGTGCACACAGCATTACCGGGGGAGCAAGGCCTGTTCTACACAGGCTTCTGTGAGAAGGATTGAAGGAAGAAGGATGCCAGCACCAAGCCACGTAGCTGAGGGTGTGCTCAAGGACAGCATCCGAGACAGAAGTCATGTGAGAACACAACTCCCACCAAGTCCTGAACATTGTGTGACTGCTGAGGTCCCAGTGCCTAGAACAGAAACTGTATGCATAGCTGTGGGATGAATGGATGGATGATGGATGGATGAATGAATGGATGAACTAGAGGACAGGAGAAATGAAACTGTAGACAGGCTGATCCTGGAAGGCTGGTAAGAATACTGATCCTGCATAAATCATTTGGATTTTATTCCACATCAATGGAAACAGGGTGGAGAGTTTCAAGGTGGAGACAGGGTAGAGAAATCCTTTCTCGGCAGCTGGGAGGATGGAGCTAGATAGGCCTAGCTGACGAATCTCAGCTTCTCTGAGAACTGAAGGTAGGTATACAGGTAAGGAATGCCTTAACGGCAAGTGATTTTGTGCTGGGCAATGGCAGTCCCAGAGAAACAGTAGGATTTGGGAGTATGCCATGAAAGATGGCCTCTCCTTGATCACTCCTCTCATCCACATGAAAACATCTGAAATGACTTGAGATGGGGATACCCACAGAGACTGCAAAGGGCTGGAGCAGCTTCGTAGCTTCTCTTTTACATTTATTCCTACAGAGAGCATGAAGATGGGTAAGAGGCCTGCTCTGCTGCAGAGGATGAGCTGGGAGGAAAAGACAGGCCTCGACCTCGAAACCCCAGAGTATTTATTGATCCAGGATATCATTTGAGTTCTTACAGCTATTATCTCACTCCATCCTCCAAACCACCTTCTGGAGTTAGGACTGTGGCGAAATCTCTCCCATGTTCCCAAGCTACTTCCTCTCCCAGGACACACAGTCAGACCACATCCTAAGCTTCCTACACCAGGTTCAGCCATGTGACTGGGTTCTAACCATTGGAAAAAGGACAGAAGGGATCCCCTCGAGGCCTAGTCTAGAAAGCATACCTTTCTCCACATTTTTTTTCCCCTCATCTACCACTGCATGTGGAAGAGGACAGGGCTGTAGAAGATGATGGGACCACAAAACTGCAAAGCCCGAGTCCCTAACTGAGGAGGGAGAACAAATCCATCTCCTCAACCAACATTGGACCAGGATGGGAACAAAAGTCTGTTTTCTTGTGCCAGGAGATTGAGATTTTCAAGTTACCACAGAAACTAGCTAACCCTGATCTATGCCATTGTCTTTCTATTTCCTAGAAGAAGAAACGGCCTCAGTGAAGTGTTCACATCAGAGTGAGAATGGAACTGAGTCCAGGGTTTGAGGTCTGCGGAGAACTGGGCTCAGGATGCTAAATCCTCTCAAGCAGTTTCTGAGTTTGCATCTGTAATTTATGGCCTGCGTGGGGGTTTCAGGTTTCCCGTGTCCTCTGATACTGAGCCTCTAGGCCTGTTCTTGTGGCTGTTCAACAAGTTGATCCCATATGGAAAAGAATCCTGGCCTGAAGACGGTGAGGTTTGCCTACTTGGTACAGCCGCTGCCTTTTCTCTGGGGATACCGTCACTTCGTGAGTTTCTACATATCTTCTTCCTTTTCGCTTAGGGTTGGAAATGCAAACACAAAGGAACCAGAATCTTTTTCCTTTGTTTCACATTGATCACTCCTTGTCTAGTTGTGAGATCCTGTTTCAAGCACTGGCTTCATGATAGCTGTGCTCTCCTCTGCCTGTCTCAATACCAAGAGCTTTGGACAGTGAATGCATTGTAGGTGCTAAGAAAATACTACTTACTAAGTAAATGAATGACTTCCCACTCTTCCTGACTGCATTTCTGGATTTTGTAAAATTTGGCCTTGCTTTTCATCAATTTTTAAATTTTTTTTGTGCGTCGTATATGTGTGTATATGTTCATGCATGTGTTCCTGTGTGCACGTGGGCAGAGTATATGTATATATAGATGCCAGAGGTTGATGTGCAGGGTCTTCCTTGGTTGTCCTCTACCTAATTTTTGAAATAACTGAAGTTGGAGTTCACTGAATGAACTAGGCAGACTGGTAGGTGAGTGCTGGGGACCCACCTGTCCCTACTTCCCAAGTGCTAGAATTAGAGGCACACACTGTACCTGGCTTTTTATATGGGTTCTGAGTGTCCAAACCTAGGTCCTCGTGATTGAGCAGAAGGATTTTGTTGACTGAACCACTTGCCCAGCCCCAGCTCTCCATTTTTATATACACATGAAAGAGAAGATGTAGCTGGAGTTTTCTCTAGTCCTGCCCAGCATCACGGACCCCGCAACCACTTATAAAATAACCACTCAGAAACTTCTATTAATTAAACTGCTGGGCCATTAGCTCAGGCCTACCACTGACTAGCTCTTATACTTAACTCAGCCCATTTCTGTTAATCTATATGTCGCCACGTGTTCCGTGGCTTTACCTGTTGCCTTTACATGTTTCTCCCTGGACGGCAGGCTGGCCTCTCTCCCACTCCGCCTTCCTGTTCCTTGTGGTGGTATTGTGTTCCCCAAAATATTGTGCACCCTAATAAACTTATCTGGGGTCAGAGAATGGAACAGCCACTAGATACAGAGGCTAGAAAATGGTGGCACTCACACCTTTAATCCTAGCCTTCTAGAGGCATGGATCTCTGTGAGTTCAAGGCCACACTGGAAACAGCCAGGCATGGTGACTCACGCCTTTAATCCCAAGAAGAGAGCCTTTAATCCCAGGGAGTGATGGCAGAAAGCAGAAAGGTATATAAGGCGTGAAGACCAGGAACTAGAAGCATTTGGCTGGTTAAGCTTTCAGACTTTGGAGCAGCAGTTCAGCTGAGATTCATTCTGGATGAGGACTCAGAGGCTTCCAGTCTGAGGAAACAGGATCAGCTGAGGAACTGGCAAGGTGAGGTAGCTGTGGCTTGTTCTGCTTCTCTGATCTTCCAGCACTCACCCCAATAACTGGCTTCAGGTTTGATTTTATTAACAAGACCTTCTAACAATTCAAGCTACAGTTCCCCCAGTTCTCCTCTCTGCTAGTCCCGCCTACACTTCCTGCCTGGCTACTGGCCAATCAACGCTTATTTATCAATCAATCATAGCAACATATTTTTACAGCATACAGGACATCCCACAGCAAGAAGATGTAAAATGAATTCTCCATACAAAGTGAACTTGTTTAATGATCGCTGTTACCAATTTATCAATCCACACTTCAGAATTTTGGGGGGAGTGTTCCAAAAGTTCTCATTCTTCATAGTGCTATCAACTGAGGCGATGGGTCAGTTTGTGAAGTGCTTGGCTCCAAAGCATGAGAACCTGAGTTCGGATCCCCAGGAGCCGTGTTAAAAGGCCAGACCTAGCAGCAGGCCTCGGTAACCCCAGCTGGAGACATGGAGGTGGGGGGACCCTAGGGGCTTGCTGGCTAGTCAGTCTAGCTGAATTGGTGAGCCCCAGGTTCAGGGAGAGAACCCATCTCAAAAAAACAAGGTGGGCAGCAACTGAGAAAGACATCCAACATTGTCCTTTGGCTTCCACACGCACACAAAAGCATGAACGTACACAACACGCGCGCGCACACACACACACACACACACACACACACGCGCGCGCGCGCGTGCGCACACACACATACACACACACACACACACACAGAAAAATAAAAGGAAGCATGCAATACATGGCAGTGATTACATAGAACTGGTGATTTACGTGTGTAAGAATTTATAGTGAAAACATGATTGCAAATTAAACTGTGGTTATGCAAGGCTAATTATCGTGTTCCACTCAAGAAGAATGTTACCAAGGTTTAAAAACATTTATTTATTTATTTAGTGTTGGGGGACGGGGAAGCACATGTGGGCGTCAGGGGACAGCTTGTAGCTTTGGGTTCTCTCTTGCCTGGATAGAACTCGGGGTCCTGGACTTGTTGGCAACCGTCTCTTCCTTCTTAGCCAGCCCAAATGCTACCTTGGTGCACCTGTTTGGTACCGTATGCATTACCTCATTGAAGTCCGTATGTATTACCTCATTGAAGTCCATATGTATTATCTCATTGAATTTTACAGCGATCCCCAGGGTATGAGTTTTGGACTGAGAGGAAGTTGAAGCAGATGGGTTAAGCAACTTGCCTAAGGCCAATGGCCGAGTGCAGTAATGGTAAGGTAATGGTAAGTACAAGTAACGGTAAGGCTGGAATTCAAACTTGCGTTTCTGTGGTGCTGGAGAAAACAAATCTTTGTCCTGTTGGTAGATGTCTATGTTTGGACAGAAGCGGTGCTGGGAAATTCTGTTTCTGTGTGTGTCATCTTAGCTGATTCAAGTCTTGTGACTTTATGCAGTGGTGGGTATCACTGGGTACGGGTTGTCACCCTATGTATTAGCTCTGCTATTTGTCTCTGGGTTCCTTCTAAAAGTATAACTAGCAGTACTTTAGAAATGACTCCTTTTTTGTTGCTGTTTTCTGTGTAGGGTTTCTCTGTGTAGCCCCGACTGTCCTGAAACTGTCTATGTAGATCAGGCTGGTCTCAAACTCAGAATGCCTCTGACTCTTGAGTGTTGGGATCAAAGGCCTGTGCCACCACGCCTGCCTAGAAATGACTCTTTACGGCTGTCAACAATGACCTGACTTAACTTCCCTGAATACTATTACACCGT